AAAAAATAATATATATAGGAAATGGAATGTAGGAAAAACTAATCCAAAAAGACAAAATAATAAACTTACTTAATTAATGACGAATAAGAAATAATATTGGACTAGTTAATTTACTTCTATTACTAGTTTTCGGCTAAAACACTAAATTAACATTTACGACAATGATGATACGAGAACTATGCTGCAACTATATAATGGTTGCAGCACGAATGGGTCGGCTCGACCGGGGAAGGGCCACGCTCTCACTGAATACCAGCGTAAAATAAGAACAGACACGAGACAGCAGCATTATGCTGCTGTGACAGCAGCATAATGCTGCTGTCTTTCGTATGATCAGTGTAGAGAACCGGAGACCCTTTTTACAGGAACGAAGCATTCGGACGCAGTCCTCAGGGCGTGACAACGCATTTGTAATTTGATTTTTAATTAAAGATAAATGTAGATGTCAGTGGACCGCAACCACTTACATTCCATTCTATAAAAAAATCTTAATGGCGAAACAGCACACATTCATAATATTGTGAACTATCTTCAGATAACGGAATAATTAATACTACAATTATTAAACATAGGTTAATAAATTTATATTTAAAATAAAATATTATTTCTCATATAGCTGTTGTCATTACATTCATTAAGAAGAAATCAAACCGTAGTCTTTAAAAATCGTGGTAGTATTTTTATCTGAGTTGGGTTTTAGATGTTAAGCGCGTAGGTATGTCGTACTAGCGTCTAAAAATAAAGAATTCAACGTTTTGTAGCTTGAAATAGCTTGGACAAGTTGGAAGAATTGACACTTTAATTTAAGAACAATGATGACAACATAAAACAACACTAATAACAAAACACAACTGTACTTCTGATCACTTTAGTTCGCAGTTGTACCGCTTCAAAGTATTCGCTTGATCGCCATTCAATACTGACCGGGTCGCAGTCTGTATTTAATGGCCTTATATAGGGCCTCAGATATTTCCGGAACCTTCTACTGTAGAAACATCTAGAATGGTCGAATACATACCGGTGCCGACTAAGTGTCGATAGTTCTAGAAAGTTCTAGCATGAAAATTTCTAGAAGGATCTTGAGTCTCCTATTTCTGCTACTTGATACTAGAAGGCGCCATGTACCGGGCCTTAATTGTGGCGCGCAACAGTGGGGTATATTTATATTTGACAGTTTCGTAGCGTAGTGGATTAACATAGACCACTGCGAAGGACAAGTATTTCTATAGCCTACAAATAATTGTTCTGGATCTGGATGTTTGTGTTTGTTCAATAGGTATATATTGTTGCGCGCCATAGTTGATACCTGGTACATGGCACTAGCGCAATCTAGTATCGAGTAGCAGAATTAATCTTTCTAGAAAATTCCACACTCGAATTTCTACACCTAGTCGATCGGGACCGGTATGAGCTGGAACATCCTTGATGTTTCAGTGGAAGATGCCCTATATAAAGCCATTTAGGGCCGCGACCGAGTCTAGACCCCTCACACGTCCAGGCAGTGGAGGATGAGGTCCGCCGCCGGAACTCACCCCCCACGGCCTCCGAACCTATCTCTGTGTCCAATGATGAGATCTCATCCCTCATCAAAGGACTTAAGCCTAAAAAGGCTCCGGGCGCGGATGGCATCTCCAACCAAGCCCTAAAACACTTTCCCGAGCAGGTGATAACCTTTTTATCTATTATCTTCAACGCCTGCTTCAACCTTAGTTATTTTCCCACTACGTGGAAAGAGGCTACTGTGATTGGAATTCCCAAGCCAGGCAAGCCTCTCAACCTCCCCCTCCAGCCATCGCTCCATTAGCCTCCTCAAGGCAATGGGCAAGCTCTTCGAAAGAGTCATCCAAATTCGTATGAGGCGCTATCTGTTTCCCACAGACGGCGACCCTCTTATCATTCCCCACCAATTCGGCTTCCGAGCCAAACACTCATGTCCCCAACAAGTTCACCGCATTGTGGAATATATCCTCAGCGGTTTCTATCCTCGTCGTCATAAGACCATCGCGGTCTTTTTCGATATAGCCAAAGCTTTCGATAGAGTCTGGCACACAGGCCTCATCTACAAGCTCTATAAAATAGGTCTCCCCGATCGTCTAGTTCATCTCGTGGCCTCCTATTTAAAACATCGTACCTTTCGTTTCAGACACGAAGGCACGCTTTCTTCACAGCGAACTATCAAGGCTGGTGTCCCTCAGGGCTCAGTACTTGCTCCTCTGCTGTACATCCTGTTCACCAACGACATTCCCATCCCGTCGAAAGGTGTTCAACTCTCCCTCTTTGCAGATGACACTGCCATCTACTGCAAAGGTGTCTCACTACCCCTTATACGGAACAAGATCCAAAAGTCAGTTGATGACCTAGGAGCTTGGTTCAAAAAATGGCGCATCGATGTGAACCCGGAGAAGAGCTCCGCCGTCCACTTCGATTATAAACGACGCCGTCTCAAAAACACTCCACCAATACGTATGCTAGGGACCCCTGTCCCCTGGCATACGTCCGCCAAATATTTAGGTGTCACTCTAGACACAGGGCTCACTTTCAAGCCCCACGTCAAAAGAGTAACCCGTCACGCACGGTTTTATCTGAGTAGGCTCAACAGTATGTTGGGCCGACACAGTAAAATGTCCCTTCGAAACAAGCGTACCCTCTACAAGGTATGTATACGACCCGCCCCGTCTTTGCCCACGCAAACCCTAACATTTTAAATGAACTCCAAATAGTTCAGAACCTCTTCTGTCGTCGAGCTGCGAACGCAACGTGGTACGTCCGCAATGCCGACCTTCATCGGGACTTAGAGCTCCCAACAATTCAACAATTTCTTAAAAAACTCTCTGAGAACTTCTTCAAAGCCTCAGAGTCGCACCCAAACCATTTAATTCGTGAGGCAGCTTCTTATGCAGCCCCACCCCCCTCTCGCTATCGTGTCCGCAGGCCGAGGAACTCTCTCTCGGACCCGCCTAATAAACTTTCAAACGACCTGAACTGTCTCCTGGCGGCTCAGGCCAACTCTAATTAATAAAATTATTGTAATATCTAACATTAATTTGCCTTCGTAGGCACTCCCTCAGCGGCACTTAGCCGCCTGCGCCCTCTTTTCCCAAAAGAGGGTCGCTCATGATAAGGCACAATAGAGCTTAATCAGCCGGTTGCCTGTCCCCAAAGGCGGTTTTTAGAGGGTATCACTTAGGGTCCCCGGTAGGACAGTGAGCCCCTCATAACCACGATAGACCGGCTATCGTGGTATGCGTAATGCATTTTCCGCCTCCCTACGTATAGGGTAGCCCTTTAATTGCTTCGGGCGCAAAAAAAAAAAAAAAAAAAAGCGACCGAGTCAGTATTGAATTGGCGATTCAAGTGAATACTTCGAAGCGATATAGCTGCGGACTAAAGTTGTAATTGGTGTTCGGTAATTAAAGTGTCAATTTTGGTAATTCAATCGGCAGTTTTTATTGTTACGAACCCCAAGCTCGTAACAATATGTATGAACTACCTCCTCGATACAGGAAAAAAACCTAGTAAAATACAAAGTCTGAAAAATCACGATACTTAATTATTAGTTAAATAATCTTAAATTTATTATCTTATACTTATCTTTATTAAATTTGATTAGTTGCACTTTATGTACGACTTTATGGCTGTATAAGCATAATAAATAATAAAAAATAGATCACCAGAGCCCCAGCCCGCGGACAGAATTAGTGGCATAATTTAAACTGATAAAAGCTATTGATATAAATAGAACGTATTGAATGTTGCAGACATTATAAGTTTGTTTAAGTTGTTGTGAAGTGTCAATAAGTGTGTAAGTGTAAACGTATGAAAAATGCGATATTTGGGAGTGTAAATATGTAAAATTGTAATTTTTGTATACATTTTGCTCAAGAAAGCAAAAGAACTTACGTGAAAAAGATCTTTTAAGTTGAAGTGTGTGACATACGTTATCTTTTGGCGCTTATCATTAAGGAGATTCTCGTCATACAGCAGCTAGGAGTATGTTTTAAGCACAGTATGCAAAATAAAAGTTTGCCTAACAGTAAGAACATCCCATTCCTTACACAGGTCTACAGTAGGGAATCGGTAGGGTAGACCAGCACTTACCTTAAGCATGGTGCGCTGTGCCCTCTCTACTTCGATTAGATGATGATGATGCATTATTCGGTTAGGGATTGGCATAATGCGTACTAAACCATCTTAATATTCATTCGGTCAGTGAATTGACTTAGGATTTTAAAAATGAAGATCAATTTTCGGAGTCTGGTTACTAGTTCTTTTTCATTAATCAATTATGACCCCAAGATATTTAATATTCTCTGCTCTTTCAAGAGTGGGATATGAGCACATGGTTTTCAAACCTCAGGCATGGGCAGAAATAGTAAGAGAGGTCGGATGGAATAGATTACTTCAATGGGATAAGGTTATATATTTAGTTTTAGACACGTTGAGTGTCAGAACATTATTTTGCAGCCAGCTCCTGAATTTATTGAGACCAGCTTGAGTGACATGCTCTTCCTAGCTATTCCCACTGAAGAACAAGGCGGTATCATCAGCAAATACAAAAGTTTTGCCTATCTGAATGAGAAGTTGGTAAAGATCAATGATGTACACCAAGAAGAGTGTAGGACCGATTATATTGCCTTTTGGAATACTAAAATTGACAGCTACCTCATCATTTAGTATTTTTTTAGATTTCACAAAAATTACTTAAGTATATTTTAGATAAACTATAGCTTAGACCCAATGTCATTGCTCCCTTTCTGTTCGTGAAGTTTCATCATGATCGGTCAGCAATTCCGAAGGACAGACTGACAGACAGACAAACCAACAGAAAAAAAGTTATCCCCACCTTGGTGTCGGCTGGATCTTCTCAGATTCAGCAAGCGGCACCCGCTACTGGTAGACTACGTCGCTTGCGTTGGTCGGAAATAATGAACGCTAACGCATTGCGGGCGTATTTTAGGGCAAAATGGGAAGAAACGGGAAAGTTGGCGTATCGGGCTCTGATGCATCGCTTTTTTGCACAGCTGGATCCATCTCTAACCGTCACTGAGCAAAACCTGGTAGACCGAGTTCGGTACATCCTGCGCTTCTACATATTTGGTGACACCGAACTCGAACCACTACGACGTAAGGCTGTCTCCTCATTGGATGAAAATGCTGCGCATGGGACTGCGACGCAATTAATTGCAGAGCAACCTGCACACTTGGATGTCGCCGTGAATATTTCAGTTGTGGTTGATTCAGACGATGATGGGATAGTCTCCTACGAAGTAGAGCAAATGAAGAGCATATTAAAAGAGGCGATTTCGGAAACGCGCACTACGTCTCTCGAAAATCGACCGCGACTTTCCCGCATAGCCTTGTAAGCAAGCGGGATCGGGCTATCGTGTGGACTCTTAATCCAATACTGGTGACCTATTTCAAAGCCAGCCGGGACCGCTGTGAGAGGAACTCAATTCTTTTTGGCGTCGCACTAGCAGTTTGCCGTATTATTGGCGCTGAATTTCCCAGGGCTGGACGCACTACTAGACAAAGTAACACCATCTCAGCATGGAGAAAAAGAATTGAGGACCGGATCGTAAAGAATATAGCTATCGAAACTGACAAGCTTCAGGTCGGGTAATAATAGGCCAAGATTTGTGCGCACAACGACGTTCTAACAAGAATAGCGTTTACTGCCACAAATTTAGTTTGCTCCAGTCGGAATCACGTAGAAACTAACGGAGCGCATAGATGACCTGAAGCAAAGAATCGCTGCTTGAGGGAGGCGGATTCGACGATATACTGAGAGGTCAAGGCGGTTCAACCAGAATCATCTCTTCCAGAGTGATCTGAAGAGACTCTTTGGAGCAACCAAAGGTATGTGGGGGCCCAGCATCGGATCAGGCCGACACTGTCGCATTCTGGCCTGTGGTCAGAGCCCGTAAACTACAGCGAAGGCCCTTGGACGGAAGTTGTGGCGAGCTAAGGTGTGAGTGTTATGCCTATGGACGCTGTCGTCATAACACTGGACGACGTGCCTAAGGGATTCCATAGAACCCCGAACTGGAAGTGACGGGCTGCATCACTAATGGCTGAGGGAGTTCGTGGTGTGTTATGCTGTTCTCGCCCGACATTTTCAAGAATTTTTCGACTGGAAGTCGCTCCAGGCTTCTTGACTAATGGGATCATCAATTGATTCCTAAAGATCACGATACCACAAAGCCGAAAAAATACCGCCCCATCATGTGTCTAACCACCATATACAAGACACTGACATCCATTTTGAGCGTGTCATCTGGACTTAAATAAGGTGATGTCACGCACTCTAAATTGATTTCGGGGCGGTGGTCCGGCTAACCAAGAAACATTTTTGTCATTGGCAAAGTGGTTAAGCGCAACCATCAGTGGATGGTTGTGCTTAACCACTTTGCTATGGATGCATATTTGTTATGCCTGGATTGGCTACACAAAGGCATTCGACTCGGTTGCCCGTACGTGGCTAAAGGGGCTCCTCAAGCTGTACATGGTTGACTGTACAGTTAGAGACTTCCTCGAGCAGTATATGAAGCAGTGGAGTACGATCCTTTGTCATCTGGGCGAGCGGATGACGGCTGTGGAGAACCACATAATGATAAGAAGGAGCATCTTCCGGGCGACTGTCTGAGTCCAATCTGGTTCTGCCTCTTTTTCAACTTTTTCATTACCTTACTGGAGGGCTGCGGGAGGGGATTTCAGCTTCGAAAAGGATGTACAAAAGTGACCCACCTTTTCTATTTGAATGATCACGAATATGAAAGACCACTATATAAAACTATATGAAAGATCACTATTTGAAAGAGCAAGTCTTATCCGAACTATTCCGATGATATACCTGACGCCACGAGATTAGAATGGTTCTCCAGCACCTTAAAAACGGCAAGTCCCCGGGCGAGTATGGAATTATAGCGGAGCTTCTGAAAGCGGGTGGAAAACCGATACATAAAATCCTTCAGAAAGTCTTCAATTCCGTCCTCCATGATGGCATTACTCCGGAGGCTTGAAGCAGAAGTGCGGACGTCTTGTTCTTCAAGAAAAGCGACAACGCTCTCTTGAAGAACTACAGACCGATTTCCCTTCTGAGCCGCGTCTACGTGCTGTTTTCGAGACTCATTACGAATCGTCTCGTACGCAGACTCGACGACTTCCAGCCTCCCGAACAAGCTGGTTTCCAAAAAGGCTTCAGTATCATTGACTACATATATACCCTGCGGCAGATTGTACATAAGTCCGAAGGGTACAGTCTGCCACTTTGTCTTGCGTATGTGGATTATGAGAAAGTCTTTGATTCCGTCGAAATTTGGACGGTACTGCAGTCCCTTCAGCGGTGCCAAGTTGACTGTCAGTATATCGAAGTGCTGAAGTGTTTGTACTGTAGGACTACGATGACGATCTGAGTACAGAGTCAGAGTACAAAACCTATCCAACTGCAGAGAGGTGTAAGACAGGGTGACGTAATATCCCCGAAACTCTTTACCGCTGCATTGGAAGACGTTTTCAAGCTACTGGACCGGAAAGGATACGGTATTAACGTCAATGGCGAGTATATCACTCACTTTTGATGTGGCGACGATATAGTCCTTATGGCAGAATCGCTGGAGGACCTAAGCACTCAATGACCTCAATAGTGTCTCCCAACTCCCTGAAAGTAATCCTGGCGGCGTCCATAACTGTAATTGTAAAATTATTTTGAAAAAGCAGTATTAGCCACATTTGTAGACGGTGCATGCTCCGATTACAAGCCTATTACTGCTGGCGTTCCAAAAGGCTGCGTGCTATCACCAACACTGTTTCAATGTTATCAATGATATGTTGCAAACCGGTAACATTCATTGCTATGCGGATGATTACAATGGTGATGCTCTATACACCGGCCGTGCCAATATTTCTCGGAAAACGTCTCCGAGTATCGGGACAAACTTGTATCTGAAGTCGAGTCTTTGCTGAACAAAGTCTCGGATTGGGGGCGACTAAATCTAGTCCAGTTTAGCCCTCAGAAGATACAAGTTTGAGCGTTAAGCGCTATAACGAACCCTTTTGTCGTATCTCCTCATTTTCAAGGGAGTGCCTTGTTGCCTCAGCCAGTATCGGAATCCCCGGCGTTGACAGTTTCGTGGTCACTTGGGAGAGAAGGCCAAATTGGCCTCTAAAAAGCTTGGCGTGCTCAGCAGAGCGGGACAGTATTTCATGCCAGCACAACGTCTGCAACTTTGCAAGCCGCAAGTTCGGCCTCACATGGAATACTGTTCCCATCTCTGAGCTGGAGATCCCCAGTGCCAGCTCCTTCCACTTGACCGCATCCAGCGCAGAGCGGCTCGAATCGTCAACGACCGAGTGCTTTCCGATCGGCTCGATCCACTGGCGCTGCTTAACATCAGATGAACCGTATGCTTGTTTGCGCCCTCTCCTATAAAAAAATTGACGTTTAAAAAGATTTTAATATTTTTTTTGTAAAGTTAAAAGTAAAGTTACAGCCTATATACGTCCCACTGCTGGGCATAGGCCTCCCCTCATTTCTTGTATTTCTTCGAAATATTTTTTTCTTACTGCTCAGACATGCAGGTTTCCTCACGATGTTTTCTTTCACCGGCGAGCACGTGGTATATCAGCACTTAAAATTGCAATTAATAATTTCATTGGTGCCAGCGGGGATCGAACCCAGGTTACTCGCGTTCTCTGTTATATTTACAGCGAGCGTTAACCATCTGAGCTACCACGGCTCTTTTTTTGTAGATACGTTATATTAAATTGACGCACTTGTTTTGCTGTTAGTTTTGCGTGCTCATGTATTTGTTTAAACTTCTCTTATACGTAAACTGCCACATCTAGGTAAATCGTAACTCATTTAAATGTGAATTAATTATAAACTAGTGTGAGGATCCAACATATGTTACGTCAAATGTGGCTTCCCGTTCTCATTATAACATTGTGATAAATGTAACTGTACGTAGGTATTGCAAATGTAGTTTCAAGTGTGTTGAAATTAAAATTGAAATATACCATTATATTCATAAGTACACACTTCTAGAGTTAAAAGAAACATTTACTTAAAAATTCATCCTTTTAATGAACAAAATGGCATTTCCCACAAATGAACCAAAATTTACCAATAAACAACAATCGACACTTAAAATAGTAATTTGTAATTTCTTTGGGAATTGGGGGGGTTCCTACCAACCCGGCTTGCTTAATTTGGAATTCGAACGCTATTTTTTTAAATCTTTCTTTATACGGGGCGACGTAACTTTCATTTTTATCTATACCACCTGGGTTCTTGTTGGATATACGAGTTCTTAAAACCTACCTGGATATACGTAGTGTGGATATACGTAGGAATACAGTAGAATAACTAAATTTAAATAAAACATTTTAAGGACATTTTTAGACAAAAATACGATTGAAATGATTTAAAAAAATCATATAATTGAGTTATAAGTCTCCTCCTTTTTTCAAGTCAGCTAAAAGTAATATCCCGTGAATAGGAGTTAATTTTAATTGCGAACATGTGCTCTGGTGCGTTCAGTGCCTGTATTTTTACATTTACCATTTCCCGTATAGTAAAACGGTTTTAATCAAACTTTATCACTTATTTTACAAACTCTTACTGATTTTTTTTGGTTTCTATGCATATAACAATGGTTTATAGTTATTAGTAATAATGTATTTGATTTCAAATATAAATATAAATAAAATAAACACAACACCAAATAATTTTGAATTAAAATACATAGCGTCTACTCAACACAAAAGATATTGAACCAATCGCAATAGCTATAAATAGTTTCAATAATAAACTAAACTTAACTGATCTCTTGGTCGTTTGGGCCTGACGGAGCTCCACGGAAGGCACCGGTTCTAACGCATAATTTCCGGTACTCCTACTTCCTAGGTGTAGTCCCGAATTAATGGAAGCCAGCTTTCGTGCACCCGATCCCTAAAAAAGGTATCCGTTCTGATCCGTTTCCCTATCGTCATTACCTCTTTGTTCTCAAAAATAATGGAGTCTATTATTAACTGCCTGCTCATGCGGAATCTTGAGGAATACCAGCTGATTAGTGACCGCCAGTACAGTTTCCATCGGGGTCGCTCAGCTGGTGATCTTCGTGTATACCTAACACACCGACTACGAGAGTCCCTTGGCGGTTAGTATGGACGTAGCAAAGGCCTTCGACCGTGTTTAGCACAAAGCTCTTCTTTTGAAGCTTTCATCTTATAGACTGCCTGAGAAAATGTGCAATTGGATCACCAGTATGCGCGTTTACCGGTAAAACTTCTTTGTCAATGACTACTTTATCGCATCTCCGCAATGTTATGGCACTTCCCTCGTTGCCTCAGCTACCATCGGAAT